CAGGCTGTGCAGATACTGTCTTATTGAGCTGCATTCCTGAGCTGATCTCCAACTCCAGGCCATCCTCTTACCTCAGTCTCCTGAGGGCTGAGATCTCAGGATGACAGCATCACACCCGGTTCGATCACCTGATCTTAACTAAAAGGCTAAGATGTCATCTCTCCTGGGTGGCTTGTTGGTTGAGATGTGGTCACTTGGAGCTCAGGCTGGCCTTGAATTCTATTTGTAGTCATGGATGACCTTGAATTTCTGATCCCCGTAAGCCCCGTTTATGCAGTCCTAAAGACTGAACTCTGTGAATACTAGGCAAGCACTCTACCAGCTGAGTCATGTTCCCAACCCTACTCTCATGACTTTTTCTAATGGTTTATTTTATTTTGAATGACGTGTATGTGTAAGAGTATTGAGCACATACTAATCCTTGTAGGAGGTTCTGAGCTGCCTGACATGCATTCTGGGAACTAACCCCCATTCTCTGATTCTCTGGAAGGAAAGTCTGAGCCATCTCTCCAGTGCCTTCTGAATTAAACAAGAAAAATTTTATGTGTATGAGTGTTTTACCTGTGTGTATGTGTATGAGTGTTTTACCTGCGTGTATGTGTGCCATGTGTGTATCTGGTGCCCAGGGAGTCAAGAGAGTTGTAAGCCACCACGTTCGTGACAATCAAACCTGGGGCCTTTCTAACAGCAGCCCAGTCATCTCTCTAGCCCCTCTCCTGATTTTTAAAAGCATTCGTCACCAATGGATAGTTTAGAAATACCACTACCTGAACCAGCCATGGTGGTATCAATGCCTGTAATCCCAATAAGCAGGAGAGAGAGGCAGCAAGATTTTGCATTTGAAGCCATCTTGGGATACAGAGTTAAAGATCCTGCTCCTAGCCGGGCGGTGGTGGCGCACGCCTTTAATCCCAGCACTCGGGAGGCAGAGGCAGGTGGATCTCTGTGAGTTCGAGACCAACCTGGTCTACAAGAGCTAGTTCCAGGAGAGGCTCCAAAACCACAGAGAAACCCTGTCTCGAAAAAACAAAAACAAAAACAAAACAAAACAAAAAAAAGATCCTGCTCCTGCTGGGCAGTGGTGGCGCACACCTTTAATTCCAACACTTGGGAGGCAGAGGAGGCAGGAAGCAGATCTCAGTGAGTTCGGGGCCAGCCTAGTCTACAAAGCAAATTCCAGGGCAGGCAGGACTGTTACACAGAGAAACCCTGTCTCGGCCACCCCGCCCCCCTTGGAAAAAAAAAGATCCTGCTCTCCCCAGATCAAAACCCAAACCAGCCGGGTGGCGCAGGCCTTTAATCCCAGCACTCGGGAGGCAGAGGCAGGCGGATCTCTGTGAGTTCGAGACCAACCTGGTCTACAGAGCGAGTTCCAGGACAGGCTCCAAAGCCACAGAAAAACCCTGTCTCAAAAAAACCAAAAAACCAAAAAAACAAAACCCAAACCAAACAACAACAAAAATTCACTAACTGGATGGGGCCTACTTAACAACGTGTGGGGGACCTTGAGTTCAATCCTTGGCACCACCAAATAAGAGGGTAGAAAAGGAGCCAGGCGACAGTGGCACACACCTTTTTTGTTTGTTTGTTTTGTTTTGTTTATTTGAGACAGGCTTTCTCTGTAGCTTTGGGGCCTGTCCTGGAACTCGCTCTGTAGAGATGGCTCAGTGGTTAAGAGCACTGACTGCTCTTCCAGAGGATCCTGGTTCAATTCCCAGTACCCACATGGCAGCTCCCTGCTGTCTAGAACTCCAGTTCTGGAAACTCAATACTCTCACATAGACATTCATGCAGGCAATGCACATAAAGTAAAAATAAATCTGGGCTGGAGAAAGGCTCAGCAGTTAGTTGGTGGCATACACCTTTAATTTCATCACGTGGAAAGCAAAGGCAGGAGGATCTCTGAGTTCGAGGGCAGCCAGGGCTACAGGGAAACGCTGTCTTGAAAAACAAACAAACAAACAATTCTAGAACGCTTTAAAAAAAAAAAGCCAAGAGGGGCTTGCTTACAGTTTCAGTGGCTTTGTCCATCATCATCGTGGCAGGGAGCATGCAGCAGGCAGGCAGGCAGGCAAGGTGCAGAAGTAGCTAACAGCTACATCCTGACAGTAGGCTGGGAAAGACAGAGTGGACCTGACATGGGCTTTTGAAACCTCAAAGCTCACCCTCAGTGGCTCATTTCCTTTAACAAGGCCACACCTCCAAATCCTTTTCAAATAGTGCCAGTTCCTGATGACTAAGCATCCAAATATATGAGCCTATGGGCACCATGCTTAGTCAAACCACCCCAGGGGTGTAGTTCCGTGGACGAGTGTTTGGGGTAAATATGCAAGGCTCTGGGTTGTCTTTGGGATGGGGTAGGGTGGGATGGGGTGAACAGGACATCAGTTTCTAGGGCCAAGCAAAGGGGCCTACCTAGCTGGCTTGGAACAGGTCCCTGCCCCTAGCTCCTCTGGGAAGCCTCAGCAACCTGGCGTCTGACAACAGTGTTGCTTGTTCTGTTACCTGTCCCCTCCCCCTCCCTCCCTGTGTGGCCTCACATCTTAATATCACAGTGTCTACGATGCTCACTCAGCACCGCGTTGCTATGTGAATAAGTAGGCCCTGTGTTCTCTAATTCCACAAACACGCCTATGTACACCAGGGTGTGATCCTGACTTTGACATGCTCCCCCCCCCCCCCCCCCCGCGCTGAGGGGCGTGGCACCCGCATTGACACTGGCATAAGGCTATGTCATCTGATGCTGAGGTTGAAATCCTTAGAACTGGCTTATGACATAGTTTTGGATGTTTAAAAATAATCTGACAATCTGTCTTTAAATGAACTCTCAGAAGAGGCTTCTAGAAGCTAAGCAAGTTGTGCCCAGCAGCCTGTCTCGGGCCCTTCTCACTTCAGCTTCAGACCAAAGTGAAAGAATTCTGTAGCTGGGGTTGAAGGCATCTTGGGTATGGTAATGGAGCCAGCGATATCTGCTTCACATCTGTTCTTTTGGCTTCTTGGCATATGACCTGCAAAGGCAGATTCCACTGAGCCAGGGACCTGGTTTCTTTCTTGCCTGACAGCAATCATACTTCCTAGGTCTCCTTTTTCTCCCTAAACAATCTCTAAGGTTTTCTCTCTCTCTTTTTTTTTTTTAAATATTTATTTATTTATTATGTATACAATATTCTGTCTGTGTGTATGTCTGCAGGCCAGAAGAGGGCACCAGACCTCATTACAGATGGTTGTGAGCCACCATGTGGTTGCTGGGAATTGAACTCAGGACCTTTGGAAGAGCAGGCAATGCTCTTAACCACTGAGCCATCTCTCCAGCCCCAGGTTTTCTCTCTCTTTATTCCCAGTATGTCTCTGGAAAGTGAACCTCTTTGCTTTGCTCACTTTGTATGAGGTTTACATTCGAGGTGTCATGAGTCATGGCTGGGGGGCATTTGTAGGGCAGTGATATGGTTAAAGTAGGTTAGGCTTTTCTTTAGTTCCTTCTTTTTAGGCAATCTTTCAGGTATTCCAGGCTGGCCTCGAACTTACTATGCTGCTAAGGATGATGTTGAACTCACTCCTCCTGAGTGCTGGGATTATTGGCACTTGCTACCACATCCAATTTATGGGATGTTGGGGATTGAGCCCAAGACTTCTTCATACATGCTAGGCGAACATTCTATCAGCTGAACTGCAGTCCCAGGCCAACTTTAAAAAACCTTTTTAAGGAGCTGAAGGAGCTGAAGAGATGGCTCAGCAGTTAGGAGCGCTTTCTGTTCGTACAGAGGGCTCTGGTTTGGTTCTCAGAACCCACATGGCAACACACAGCCATCTATAACCCCTGTTCTGTGCAATCTAATGCTCTTTTTTGCCTTTCTCAGACACTGCATGCATGTGGTACACATACATACATGCAGGAAAAATACCCATACACATAAACAAGTAAATGTTTAAAAAATTAACATTTGTTTGTGTGTGCGTATGTGTGTAGGTCAGAGAGCAACAACTTGAACGTTTGGGTGCCAGATGAAGGTGTAAGTCACAAACAATCCCACACCAGTTTGGAATTATGATTAATAGAATGGTTATTTATTTAAAGGGGAAAAAACTTACAGCTCACCGTCCCAGACAACAGCCCTCTGCTTGATCAGGAAAGGAGTCCAGTAGCAGGAGGGAGCTGGAAGCAAGAGAGCGAGCACGGCTACTGCTGCTTTTTAAAGCAAAAGAGACCACGCCCAAGAGGGCTGGTATCTTAAAGTCTATTGGCTGAAGGAGCGGTAGGAGCTCTGCAGCATTTAAGGTCATCTTTGGCTGTACAGAGAGTTCAAGAGCCTGGCTCCCCTTGACCCTGTCTGCAAAACACCAACCAACCAACTGAACAAGATGGCTCTAGGGATATTAACCTTGGCGTTGCATTGAAGGCTTGGACTGCTGTCAGGCACATACTGGGCTCTCTCTCTCTTTGTTTGCTTGTTTTCTCAAGACAGGGTTTCTCTGTGTAACCTTGTCTGTCCTGGAACTCACTCTGTAGACTAGGCTGGCCTCAAACACAAAATAAGATCTGCCTGCCTCTGCCTCCGGAGTGCCAAGCATGCACCACCACCGCCTGGCTTCATGCTGGGTTCTCACTGTGGTCTGTGTAGGCTTCAGGCTTTTGAGAGTTCTCAGCTTGCAGATAGCAGTTTAGCCTAGTGCCTTTGAGAGCATCATATTTGAAGGACACAGAGACTTGGAGAAGTGGAGAGTCTGTACAGCCTGAGGATTTGTGGGCAGGAACCCCAACTTGGTCTGGACCAGGTAGTCCCAGCTGCCTGTGGTTCTCTGTTGGCCTCTTCAGCTTCCAAGGAAAGAGGATCTGGCTGGCCAGGCTGGCTGGGCTGGCCCCAGCCCCTTAAGCTGGGTGTGATGGGTTTGCTCTATATGACCATCCTCCATGTGGGAATGCAGATCTTGAAAGCAGGAGAGGGAGCGGTTGTTGGACCATTGACGTCTTCAGAGATGATGTGCTCTGTGCCCGTTTCTAGATGCTGACAAGAGGATCAAGGTGGAGAAGCCCGTGGTGGAGATGGACGGCGACGAGATGACCCGCATCATCTGGCAGTTCATCAAGGAGAAGGTACCACCCCTCCCTCGGTGGGTGGTGAGTAGGTGGTCAGTGCCCCAGGGGATCCCACCGTTCCCTGGTGGATAAACAGGCCTCTGTTTCCACTTTCTGCCCCGCCCTCCTCATGCTAACAATATTAGAAGCTGTTAGTTCTTGGTTGTCAGCCAGTGCCTGTCCTGATCACTCTGGGCCCCTCGCTGGTACTGAAATGTGTGAGCTTTTCAAATCCTGTTCCTCTTTCTTTCGGAAGCGTTTTATTACACTTGTTTGTTGGCGTGCATGAGGGTGCCATGGCGCTCACGTGGAGGCCAGAAACTTGTCAATCCCCTCCCACTGTGTGAGCCCCAGGGACCAGAGCGAGCCCCAGGGATCAGACCCGAATTGTCAGGCTTGGCAGTAAGTGCCTTTACCCATGGAGTCTCTTGTCAGTCCCAAATCTGTTCTTATTTAAAAGAAAAAGGACTTAATTGGTGGCTGGCAAGGTGGTCCAGTGGGTAGTGGGCAAAGGTGCTTGCTGACAAGCCTGATGATGTTTGGGTTTTTGCTTGCTTGTGTGTCAAAACAGGGTTTCACTGTCTAACAGCCCTGGCTGTCCTGGAACTCGCTCTGTAGACCAGGCTGGTCTTGAACTCACAGAGATCCGCCTGCCTCTGCCTTCGTGAGTACTGGGTGAAGGCGTGCACCACCACACCACCCGGTCCAAGCCTGATGATGGAAGGCTTAATCCCTGAGACCCACATGGAGAAAGAAAAGAACAAATTATTACAAGTTGTCTTTTGCTCTTTACACACTCACCATGGCACACGCGCGCCTCCGCACATACCCACACAATAAATCAGTAAATATAATAAAAATTAATTTGCGTGTGTGCACAGAGGTCAGGAAGGGGTTTGGTGTCCAGCCACTCTCCACTTGTTCGCTGAGGCAGTTTCTCCCTGAACTAGGAGCTTGTGTTTTCTCTGCTAAGCCAGAAGCCAGCAAGACCAGTGATCCCCCCATCTCTCCCCCAGATCTGGGTTTACAAGCATGAACAAGATGCCCTTGGGTGCTGGAGTCCAAATTTTTCCTCATGATTTTGCAGCAAGTGCTCCTAACCACTAAGCCATTGCTCCAGCTTTTTTTTTGTAATTAATAAAGTTATTTTAGATTGGTTTATTTTATGTGTTTAAATGTTTTGTCTTCATGTATGTGTATGTACCACATGTGTGCCTGATGCCCTCAAAGGTCAGAAGAAGGTGTCAGACTCCCTGGAACTGGAGTTATGGATAGTTTTGAGTTGTCATGTGGGTGCTGGGAGCTAAACCCAAGTCTTTTCCAAGAGAAACAAGTGCTATTAACCCCTGAGCCATCTCTCCAGCTCCCCTGCCTCCTTTAATTTAATTTAATTTTTAATTAATCTCATTCTATATCCCATGCTGACCTCAGACTCACAGTGACCCTCTGCTTCAGACCCTTGAATTCAGGAATTACAAAGTCATGTGCTATCATACCTGGCTGTGAGTCTTTTTTTTTTTTTTTAATATTTATCAGGGCTGGGGAGATAACATAGCTGTTGAGAGAAATTGTTCTTGCAGAAGGCCCAGGTTCAATTCCCTGCCCCAACAGGCAGCTCACAATTGTCCATGACCATAACTCCAGTTCCAAGGGGTCCAATACCTTCTTTTGATCTTCATAGACACCAGGCATGCATATGGACAGGCATATATACAAGAAAAACAGTTGTACATGCACTGAACATGGTTGTGCAAGCTTTTAATCCCAGCACTCAGGAGGCAGAGGCAGGAAGATCTCTGTGAGTTCCTGGCTAGCCAGGACTATATAGCGAGACTCTGTCGCAAAAATCAAACCAAACCAAACCAAATCAAACAAACAAACTTGTTTTTAATGATGTGTAAATCTGTATGCCCATGTGTGGATCTATATGCCCATGTGTGGGTATGCACATATGAGTGCCAGTTCCCATGGTGGCCAGAGGTGGCAGGTTCCCTGGAGCTGGGGTTACAGGTGGTTCCCTGATGTGGGTACTGGGAATTGAACTTGGGCCCTCTGCAGGAACAGCACACTCTTTAACTGCTGAGCCATTCCTCCAGTCAGAGACAGTGTTTTAACTGTGTAGCCCAGGCTGTCCCCAAATTCTCGATCTTTTCTCGGCCTCCCAGTGCTGGGATTTCAGGTATATGTCACAATGTTTGGCTGAAGCTGTCCCTTCCGTGATCAGATCACTTGGAGGAGAAGGGGGACCCCACTGAATAGACTTGGGATTTCCCTGACTTGATGGGTCTCTAGAATAGCAGTAGACACTCACTCCTGGCTCCCTTCTGTGGAGCCCAGTGTGGCTTACCCCTCAGAGTCTTAGCCCCCTGCCATCTCCGGCTCTGCTGATGAATGGCTGACCCTAGCTCCCTCCTGCACCCTCTCTACCAGATTTCCCTCATCCTTCACTTGACCAGGTGACTTCTCTTGCCTTGGCACTCTAGCCTGACACTTTGCTTGGGCTCTCTTTCCTAGCTTATCCTGCCTCACGTGGACGTCCAGCTCAAGTATTTTGACCTTGGGCTGCCAAACCGTGACCAGACCAATGACCAGGTCACCATTGACTCTGCGCTGGCCACCCAGAAGTACAGTGTGGCTGTCAAGTGTGCCACAATCACCCCTGACGAGGCTCGTGTGGAAGGTATGAGGTGTGGTGGGGGTCACAGAGACCTGTAGGCTGGCAGGTCCCAGGCTGTCACACACAGATGGAAGCAGCTGCCTATGTCATTCCTTAGGGGATTGGGAGACGGAGTTTCCCTGGGGCTGATTTCATCACTTGGGGTCTGATTTGGGGTGATGGGGGGCTGAGAGGTCAGTCCGTCCAGTCTTGCTGAGAGGGCCTACCGGGCCTTTGAGGTCACTACAGTGCAGTTGGGGGAGGGTATCATGATGCTGCAGGGCTGGTTAGGGGCTAAAATTGCTTTCCTGGGGGCTCTCAGCCTTTTCGTTCTTCTAAGTCTCCCCTCTCTTTCGCCATGTGGCTGCTTATCACCCCCACTTCTCGCAGCGTGACCTTTTCTCTTCCTTTCTCTACTTCCTTTCTTCTGGCAGCTGCTGAGATCCACAGCTTGCCTGTCTTGTTATTTTCCTCTTAAACGCCAAGAAAATTGTCCTTAAGCTTCAAAAACAACAACAGAAGAATATGGTTTAGGACTTTTCCTCCCTCATTTCTGCAGCATGAGGAAGCTGGGAACAAGCTTTCCAGATGGTCTTCAGAGCTGGGGGTTTAGCTCAGGGATGGAGAAATTCCCTGGCATGCATAAGGCCCTGAGTTCGATTCCCAGCACTGCAAAACAATAATAAAGGGGAACTCAAGAGACATCAGCAGTCTGTAGACCACCTGCTTATTACACATATCACACATGGGAGTGAGTTTTAGTCCTCAGCTTTTCCTTGATGCTCCTGAATCCTGGAATTAAATACACACACACACACACACACGCACACACACACACACGAGGATGGGCAGTGGTGGCACACGACTTTAATCGCAGCACTTGGGAGACAGAAGCAGGCGGATCTCTGTGAGTTCAAGGCCAGCCTGGTCTACGAGAGCTAGTTCCAGGACAGCCCCAAAGCTACAGAGAAGCCCTGTCTTGAAAAACCAACATAAATAAATAAATGACTAAATAAATAAAATAATTAAAAAAAATGATTAAAGCACAGAGGCCCTTGTGCACGCTAGGCAGGCACCGTGCCGCTGGACTGCACCTCCAGCCTAGTGCTGGGGTTTACCGCTCATTCTTTAAAGGACAAGGTCTTAGTGTCTCCAGCAGGATGGGGTGGAGGGAAGCTGCCCTTTCTCTTCGATGAGTAACCTCTGTGTGGACCTGGTAAAATGGCAGCCAGGTGCTTTACAGTTTATTTCATGACAAGCCAGCGTGCTTGGTATTTTATCAGGGACCCCATTTCACAGCTCAGGCTAAGGCGGCGTTACCACCCTCCCAGTCAAAGCTGGTAGACTCCCAAGGCCATGTTTATACTCTAGACCACTGGTTCTCAACCTTCCCAATGCTGCGACCCTTTACTACAGTTCCTCATGTTGTGGTGACCCCAACCATAAAATTATTTTCGTTGTTAGGAACCATAATGTAAATATTTGTGTTTTCTATGGTCTTAGGTGACCCCACAGGGGTCGAGACTCACAGGTTGAGAAGCCCTGCTCTAGACTCTTCTACCTTCTCCAGGATGACACCTGGACCCCCTGTCTGGCTGTGTTTTGGCTCGGGGTGCATTCTGATGACTCTGTGGTGGGTCTTTCTTATCCCTATCCTTACAGAGTTCAAGCTGAAGAAAATGTGGAAAAGCCCTAATGGAACCATCAGAAACATCCTTGGGGGAACCGTCTTCAGAGAGCCAATCATCTGCAAAAACATCCCCCGCCTTGTCCCTGGCTGGACCAAGCCCATCACCATAGGCAGGCACGCCCATGGCGACCAGGTAGGCCGGGCTTGGAGACAAAGTCTGTTGACTCACACGCCCCAAAAGAAGCCCTGGCTCGAACTACCTGTCCTCTGCAGTACAAGGCCACAGACTTTGTGGTCGATCGAGCTGGCACGTTCAAGATGGTCTTCACCCCAAAGGACGGCAGCGCGCCCAAGGAGTGGGAGGTGTACAACTTCCCCGCCGGCGGCGTGGGCATGGGCATGTACAACACCGACGAGGTAAGGCTGGCCAGGGCCTCCTCGCCCGCTCCTCTCTACCTCTGCCTATTTTGTAGCTTTCTTTACTTCTGTTGGTCAGGAAGAGATGGAAGAGAACACTTGCTCAGAAAAGAGCGCCTCCTTGCGCGGGACAGGATTGGGTCACATGACCACCTTTGAGCCAATCACTAATGAGCAGGGAGGAAGGGCTCTAATTGGCTAAACTGGAGACACTAGTCAAATCTAGTGGTCAGTCTAGGCAGCTTAACCAGGCCTGACCCCACCCAGGCCTGCAGCGACTTTAAGGTCTAAGAAGAATGTGATAACTGTCCGAAGCGAAGGTGGTGGGGTCTGCTCCCAAAAGTCTGGAGGGAGAAGATGGGCCAGCCAAAACAACAGGGGCTCGCTCCATGGTGGCAAGGGTTGAGGAATCTTACGGAGGTGGTGCTGGCCCTGGCCCTGGGACCCTGGCAAGCCTGGCAGTCTCAGGCTGGGGGCCATGCTCTGCCCACTCTCCCCACAGTCCATTTCGGGCTTTGCGCACAGCTGCTTCCAGTACGCTGTCCAGAAGAAGTGGCCGCTCTATTTGAGCACCAAGAACACCATCCTGAAGGCCTATGACGGGCGTTTCAAGGACATCTTCCAGGAGATCTTTGACAAGTAACAGCCTCTGCTGCTTTCTGAGGGCACCGCAGCCTCCCAGCTCCCCTGCGCCATCCCTACTCCACCTGGGGAGGTTGCGCTCTTGGCGCGCTTGGTTCAGCTTTAGCTTTGAGGTGCAGGGAGGGGTTCTTAAGCTGCCGACCTCCTGTCCTCTCCCCGAAACAAGCCCTTTTGCCCCCAGGCACTATAAGACTGACTTTGACAAGAATAAGATATGGTACGAGCATCGGCTCATCGACGACATGGTGGCCCAGGTGCTCAAGTCTTCAGGGGGCTTTGTGTGGGCCTGCAAGAACTATGATGGTGATGTACAGTCTGACATCTTGGCTCAAGGTATGCTGGGACGGCTTGCCCCCAAAGCGGGCAGCTGTTGGTATTCCATGACTGGAGTGATTTGTTTCCTTTAATTAAAAGATTTCAATATGATTGTAAGCACAGGGTTAAGTGAAAGAGTGGGGAGAAAGTAAGATTCACCCAAGAGGATGGGTGTGGACTCCGTAGAGTCATCTGGAGGTGTGTGTGTGTGTGTGTGTGTTCGCGCGCGAGAGTGTGTTCCCATGTGGAGCCAGAAGTTGAGATTAGCTGTCTTTTATTGGCTTCCCCTTATTATTATTTTTTTATCTATCTGTCTGTCTGTCTGTCTATATTTGGTTTTTTTAAGACAGGGTTTCTCTGTAGCTTTGGAGCTTGTCCTGGAACTTGCTCCGTAGACCAGGCTGGCCTTGAACTCACAGAGATCTGCCTGTCTCTGCCTCCTGAGTGCTGGGATTAAAGACGTGCGCCACCACTACCGCCTGACTGATATATATATATATATATATATATATATATATATATATATTTAAAGATTTATTATTCATGTATTTTATGTCATGTATTTAATGTATATGAGTACTCTGTCTTCATACATACCAGAAGAAGGAATCTGATCCCATTACAGATGGCTGTGAACCACCATATAGTTGCTGGGAATTGAACTCAGGACCTCTGGAGGAGCAGTCAAGTATTCTTAACTGTTGAGCCATCTCGCCAGTCTCTCTCTCTCTCTCTCTCTCTCTCTCTCTATATATATATATATATATATATATATATATATTTTAATTACATTTCTGATATCAGGCATGGTGGCATGATAAACAGAGGCAATTGGATCTCTGTGGGTTCGAGGACATACTGAGTTTTAGGATAGTCAGAGCTACGTAACAGACCCTGTCTAGAAGTCTCTATGTACCATTGTCTGTCTGTCTGTATGGCAGTACTGTGGCAAGTGCTCTACTCGTGAACGACAGCCCCAGGCCTCTATTAACGTGTGCATGTGCACATGCTGCAGCGTACGTGTAGGGGTCAGAGGACACCTTGCAGGAGTCGGTTCTGTCCTTCCACCATGTGGGTCCCACCGAGCCTCACCCCAGGCTTGACCTCACGTTGACCTCAGCCTTGGTGGCAAGAACCTTTGCCAGTCGAGCTGTCTGGCCTTCCCTCTACCTTAATGTGTGAGACGGGTTTTTCCAGTGAGCCTGAATCTAGACGAGGTGGTCTGTGCGTCTAGGGGTTCTGCCTGTCTCTGTCCCTGCGACTGGTGTGTCGCAAGGCTGCTCTGACAGAAAGGGGAGTGCAGGAGGCTGAGTACAGGGCTCCACACTTGTTGCGTTTTGTTTGTTTGTTTTGTTTTTTCAAGACAGGGTTTCCCTGTGTAACAGTCCTAGCTGTCCTGGAACTAAGTTTTGTAGACCACACAGAGATCTGCCTGCCTCTGCCTCCCTAGTGCTGGGATTAAAGGCGTGCGCCACCACCACCCTGTCAGTGGTCCACACTTTTAGCCACAGCACTGACGTGGGCAGATTGCTGAGAACGTGAGCCCAACTTGGGTTCCACAGTAAATTCCAGGCTAAACCAATATCAAAATAAAACAAGACAGAAAAGGGGCTCTTGCGATGGCTCACTGGGTAAAAGTGCTTGTCACCAAGCTTAACAACTTGAGTTTGATCCCTGGAATTGAACGGTGGAGAAGGCAGACTCCTGCAGGTTGCCCTCTGACCTCTAGACTGGCACACGTGCGCTGTCCCCTACACAAAATAAAACCAAATAAACCTAAAGACAAAATCTGAGCAGAATCTTTGGCGTATGGAAGTTGCGTACTTTTTCTTCCTGGAGCCCTCCCATTCCTTGTGGGTCTGGGGGGAGTTTTTTGATTGCCCGGAGTCCTCGACAACAGAGGCATTCCAGCTGGAATCTGGATCTGGGGACATTTTGGAAATACGTTGCAAAGTTTGAAAGTGGCCAAACAGCAGCAGAAACCGTGATGGTTGCAAAACAGCTGCTGGCTGCTCATTTCTGCTGGAAGTGGCCTTCTGTGAGAGTGACAGCCCCAGGCTGTGGGGTCTGGCACGGGCGCACACAGACCTATGTTAGCCCATTGGTGAGAGCTGCCTGTGAGGGCCGTATTGTCCTCTCAGCTGCAGTGGGCTGGGGTCAGAAGATGAGCAGGCTCCATCTAAGATGAAGGGTTCTGAGCTGACGCACGTCTTGAGGAGAGATCTGCCCACCCCTAGGCTTTGGCTCCCTCGGCCTGATGACGTCTGTGCTCGTCTGCCCTGATGGGAAGACAATTGAGGCTGAGGCTGCTCATGGGACGGTCACTCGCCATTACCGAGAGCACCAGAAGGTAAGAGTGTGCATCTCAAGGTCCAGTGCCCACTGGCCCTGGTGGCTGGGAGGATGAGCCTAATCTGTCAGTCTAAAGGTGGATAGCTGTATCTATCTGGGACTCAGCTGTTGACCCCGTGGCCTGTCCCCAGGGCCGACCCACCAGTACCAACCCTATCGCCAGCATCTTTGCCTGGACAAGGGGTCTAGAGCATCGAGGGAAGCTGGATGGGAACCCGGATCTCATCAGGTGAGCACGCGGGGAGAACCTGAGTTGGTCCAGCTCCACGGTTTGGCCCCGCCTGTCTGGGGCCTCACTGCCACATCCCCTGCAGGTTCGCGCAGACGCTGGAGAAGGTGTGTGTGGAGACTGTGGAGAGTGGAGCCATGACCAAGGACCTGGCTGGCTGCATCCATGGCCTCAGCAAGTGTGTGCTTTGGGATACAGGGTCTGAGACCTCAGAGCAGGTGGGAGGAACCCAGGGGACCCCACTTAGAATCCCTCTCGTGAGTCAGTATAGCTGCCTCGGGTCTGGTGCAGGATAAACCTCCCTAGACCAGGCCTGAGTTGGTTCCCATTGGCAGTTGCTCAGTTTCTTTGATCTCAAACTGTCCCTCAGCTTCTCTTGTAAGACCCATGTCAGTGGCTTGCCACTCTTTGGGCCTGGGCCTGGTGGCAGGATAGCCATTCTGATACCTGAGGTCTGAAGTGCCTTGGAAGGGCTTGACTGATGGCCTTCAGGAGGCCTGAGTCGCCCCCGATGTTCTCTTGGCAGTGTGAAGCTGAATGAACACTTCCTGAACACCACGGACTTCTTGGACACCATTAAGGGCAACCTGGACCGAGCTCTGGGCAAGCAGTAGGGGCAGCTACTGCCCAGCTGCAGTGGGCACTCCATACATGGTAGAGGGTGAGCCTCACAACCTCTCTCTCTGGTGGCCTTTCTAGGGGATATTTTCTTTTTCTATGATGGAGATGTTTTTTAAAGTATGTGAGCGTTTTTTCTCCCTCACAGCGGACACGAGGCAGGAACGGTGTGCCTTACCTCAGCCAGTCAGTGTGTTTTGCATACTGTAATTTATATTGCGCTGAATCACATGGTGCCATATTTAGCTACTAAAAAGCTCTTCGCCAAATTGTCTTGCTGTGTTTGTCCCTGAGTGGGAGGAAGCAGCTGGCAGGATGCCCCAGGGACAGGGTTGGGGTGCCTCCAGCTGTTAATAGGTCAGCTAGGAGGCCGCCTTTCAGAAGAGGCAGCCTGTGGGCCTCATGCATTCTACAGAAACCGCCAGAGTTACTAGACTTTTGGGGTAAGGCCCTGAGTGCTTCACAAAACTGTCCGTGGTGTCTCAGTCTCCTCTCTAAGCAGGAGGCAGCTGGGGCTAGGGCCTAGGGGCAAAGACTCACACAGAATTGCCAAGCAGGATCCCTTCTAGCTAGCTCTCTCCATCTAGGGATTATCACTGTGATATTCTGAATATTTATTATTAACATAGGCACCTCTTATACGTGTAGACCAAGCGAGCATCCCCCCGCCGCATCCCCAGACCTAGTCTTCTATTTGAGACAGGGTCTCACTGTGTAGCTCTGGCTTGTTTGGAACTCACTATATGGGTCAGGCTGGTCTTGAACGCCCAACAGTCTACCTGCCTCTGCTTCCTGAGGGCTGGGATTAAAGGCTTTTTTTTCTGTTACACTCTTAAAAACATCCTCCCAGGCCCTTCTTTGTATGGCTTTCCAAGGTCTTCCCAAGGTTTGTGTATATGGGGTCCCCTGATCTCCGCCTCAGGTTCATCCGCACCACTTTGGCACAACTATAAAAGGGGGAAAAGCTGCTCCAAAGCCATATGCACACCATTGGCAAGCATGCCCTCATGCAGTGATTTCTTTCTCTCTTTCTCTCTCTCTCTCTTTCTTTCTTTTGATAATATAGTTAGTTCTCTGTGTCCAGAGCTGTTTTTTTTTTTGTTTTTTTTTTTTGTTTTTTTTTTTAGCAGTGCTGGGAATTGAGTTTGGCCGGGCCAGCATTTTATTACTAAGATCACTAAGCTGAGCCAGGTGGTGGTGGCGCACCCCTTTAATCCCAGCACTCGGGAGGCAGAGGCAGGCGGATCTCTGTGAGTTCGAGACCACCCTGGTCTACAAGAGCTAGTTCCAGGACAGGCCCCAAAGCTACAGTGAAACCCTGTCTTGAAAAACAAAAACAAAACAAAAAAGACCACTAAGTTGTATTCTCAGCTGCCTCTTTTTTTTTTTTTAATTGGTCTTATGCATCCTAGACTAGCCTCAAATTTCTTACATGACCTTGAACTTCTTAGCCTCCACCTCTTGAATGCTGGGTCATGCCACAAAACTGTGCTGTGCTGGGGATCCAGGGCCAGCAGAAGCTCTACCAGCCAAGCCTCCTTCGCAGCCCTAGCCACGGGCTTTAAAACCCTTTTATTATTTTATGTGTATGGACATTTTTCCCTGCACGTTTGTCTGTGTGCCATGTGCACGCAGGACACTGGATCCCCTGGAACTGGAGTTAGAGACAGTTGTGAGCTGCCATGTGGGTGCTGGGAATTGAACCTGGATCCTCTGGAAGAGCAGCAAGTACTCTTAACTGATTACCCATTTCTCCAGCCCCTAGCCACAGGTTTTATGTTTGCAGATGCAACCAACCCCAGAGTGGGTATATTTGGGGGGAATAAAACCCCCCAAAACCAGCTATGTCAGTGCATGCCTGCAATCCCAGAACTTGTTGAAAGATCACCATGAATTTGAAGAGCCTGTCTCAAAAATCAAAAGCAAAACAAAAACTCTGAACAGGTCAGGTGCGCACACATACTTACAATCTTGGTTTGGGAAACTGAGGCAGGAAGACAGTTGCATTTTAGGCCAGCCAGGGATAGACAGTGAGACCCTGTCTCAAAGCCTCTCAATATTGTAACAATAGCAATGGAAAAGAAGCCGGGTGTGGGGGTACACATCTGTAATCACAGCTCTCCAAGGATAGATTTGGGGTACAGAGACCTCGTCTCAAACAAAACCCTCAATAACCCCATCCTTGGGGCTTGGAGCGTGTCCCCCTAAGTGCATAGCAGGTCAGGTGGCTGGGACAGTCCTGCACTTCCAGAGAGGGAGCTGTCTGGTACGTGCCTGGGGAGCCTTGCTGAGACCTTTGTGGGGAGAAGGGCCACCAAGAACAGCGGGAAGGCCGGGCGGTGGTGCTGCACGCCTTTAATCCCAGCATTTGGGAGGCAGAGGCAGGCGGATCTCTGTGAGTTCGAGGCCAGCCTGGTCTAGAAGAGCTAGTGCCAGGACAGGAACCAAAAGCTACAGAGAAACCCTGTCTCGAAAATCAAAAAAAAAAAAAAAAAAAAAAAAAAAAAAAAAAAAAAGAGCAGTGGGAAGAAGCATGTACAGTCGCCTCGCTAAAGAATATCCATTTATTTATAATTATTGCTAAGTAAACTTCTCTTTTAAACAGGAACATAAACACAGTAGGGCTCTGCACAAGTGTTGTCTAAACAGTTGGTTTGTGTACACGTCAATAAGTCAGAGTGGAATCCGACCAGGGCTTGAGCTACCCTTTCCAGAAGGCCGGGAGAGGTGAGGCCGGAGCCTTGCCAGGACCGCCCCCAGCTCCAACTGTGCACTATGTAGTACCTTCCTCTCTGCATGGCCCAGGCACAAGGCGTAGGGCTGGGGGTTTTCTGAGCATGGTACCCCTCAGAGGGTTGTGCCAATGGCGGGCTGGGAGGCAATGAAAGACCCCACCCAGGCCAGACTTCTCCCTTCCGTTTCCAAGACCAAGGCCACCGCACTGGCAGGAGGAGGAGGTACAGGGTGCTTTTTGGTACCAGGGGAGAAAGTCATTGTGGGAAGAGGTAGTTTGCAGGGGTGATGCCTTCTGCTCAGCAGGAGAAATGTCTTGTACAGTGATGCCGAATCACTGACACCTGAGGGTCATCATGGAGGGCACCTGGGAGGCTGGGGCGCCTTGGGAAACCACATGTGGGCCAGTGTGTCCACCTTGCCCCCGGTTTGGAACAGTTACCCTGAGGCCTGGCTTGGTGTCTCACTTAGGGACACAGGCTTGGGGGCAGTCGCACTTGAGATCAGCACCTTCCACCCCAGCTGGGTCCCCCTCTTGGTTTTTCAGCCAAAGCTGGTGGCTTCATCTGTGCCTTTTCGGGGTTGGCCCTGCCTGCTCCTCCCCTGAGGGACCTTGGGATTTATGGGCAGGGTTAGGGTGCTCTGGAGTTTCTGAATGTGTTTGTCACTACCTGGAAGGTGGAGCGGAGGGGAGTGGGCAGGTGAGAGGGGGCAGCTGGCCGCATGGAGTCAGAGACCTTGGTTCCCTGGATGGCGGAGCCACTGGCTGGACAGGGCCCTGTAGGCTCTCTGACTCCTTCCCTCCTGCTTTAGCCATCTGAGGCCCCCACAGCTAGTGACATACCTCCTAGGGCCAGGGCACACAGATCATGGGTCCCTCCTGGGCCCAAGTACACCATGCCTGGCTGCTTTAGGGAAGCTGGGAGTGCACAGCACACAGGAAAGCTTCGGCTTGCCTCTCCATTGCTCCATCAAAGATGACAGATAAGAGAGTTAGAAAATTACCTTTAAAATATCCTCACTTGCCCAAAACTGAATCCCCCCCCCCCCCCCCGTCAATGGTTTTCAATTTCCTTTTTAGATATGCCCTTCCCTGGGATCCTGCTGAGCCTCAACTCACCCACTCCTTACAATACCTGCTCGCTCATAAAAACAAAAACCAAAACTGTTCTAGTCCTCCTCTTGGTCCCAGGGATGTCACCCTACCCTTCCCCTTGGCTCAGCCTGTCCTTGTTAATGTATGCCAGACACAAGACGCGTCCTGATTTTGTCTGGTGAGGACAGAACTGGATGAAGTTCACCGAAATGCACACTGGGGATGTTCTTCCCAACAGGGCTGAGGATGAGGACGCTCTGCCGGCTGGCTGGGAGGGGGCTCTGGAGGCTGGGCTCCCCGGCTCTCCTACAGGCAGGGCCAGGGCTAGGGCCGCATGCATGTCTGGATGGAGCAAGGGGAGGCCCAGGAGGTAGAAGGCAGAGTGCCCTGCCTGGTTGTTGAGTGACAGGGGAAGGGAAGAGGTTCTTGGGTCTGAGCAGGATTGGGGGTGGGCAGTGCTGACCAGTGTAGGAGCTCAGATGTCCTTAAAGGCCAGAGTCGGTGTAGAAGAGAGAGGAGACCTGGCTCAAGCATTCTCTTCCTCAGGCACCCCCATGGGCCTGAGGCAGCTTGGAGAAGACACCTAAGTCTGTGCCCCCATGCCTGTAAGAGACCTCACTAGCATTTCCCCTACCCACCCACAGCAGCAGGCCAAGGAGAACCAGAGCTGGGCCTCCTGGTTACCTTTCCCTCACCGGGATGCCTAGGTCTGCGCCCAGCTCCCTGCAAGGACAGTAGTACAGTCTCCATTTGGTCTAAAGGTCCCTAGTGGTGCAAATGACTGGGGGTGGGGGTGGGGGTGGGGGTGGGGGCGGGGGGGCGGGCAGCGGGCAGTAGCTTGGTTCTGGGCTGCAGAGGTGCAGGCCTCAGTACGTGGGTCTCACCCTGTGCCCTCCCCGCCCACTCCGCGGGCCTGCTATAGCACATTGTAGTAGGCCATTTCTTTCATGGCCTGCTCAGTGAGGGCGCTGGCCTCCGTGCTGTTGTCCACACTGGCGTAGGTGTAGGCGTTTTCCTCGAAGTCCTCCATCTCCTGTTGGCTGTCAAGTTCAGAGGGGTCGGGGCCTGCCAGCTCCATCATGGGGTCTACAAGAGAGGGGCACAGTTAGGCCTAAACACTGGCCATCCCCAGTGTCCTTCGGGAAGCTGGGGACCTTAAAGTCCAGCCACGTTTTCTCAGTCTTCTCATTCAGATGCATGTATGGACCCTACCGCTGGGTGTGAGGGCCTCGGGCAGAACAGATCCTTGGTTTGGCCTTGACTTCTGGCTTATATTCCCTCACCCCTGCTGGGTCACTAAGCCTTCCTGGGTCCTTGGTCCCCTTCCTATAGGACTCATTTAGTGCTCACTGCCTAGTGCTTCCAGATTTCATTTCGTCCAGTATCAGCCTGCAGCCTCGGTTTGTAGGTCAAAAGGTTGATCAACATCCCAAGGTCATCCGTCAAGTAGTCCTGTGACCTTGCAAAGCTCTACTTCAGGGTGCCATTTCTCCACAGTTAGAGGACCAAGCCTGCCCCACCCTGGGCCTGGGTTCTCAGCCAAGGTAGGTTGTCAAAGCACCTCCGGAGACAGAAGACTGCCTGAGAGGTCCCTTGTAATTCTGTCAAATTGAAATAATCTTACTATAAAGCTTGCTGTGGCAGCAAAGCCAGAGCTCCTCCTGAGGGGATATGGATTGGTATGAACTGGTAGCCCTGAGAGACTGCCTGGCAGGGACTGAGGCTCATGGGCTAAGTGCATTCTGCCCGGACACAGACCCAGCCCAAGGTTTAACCTGATAGGTCCAAGAGGGGCTTCCTAACCTTGACATTACTTCCATCCGGGATCCTTCGCCACCTGTCCCACAGGATGTCATAGTACCCTATATTCTACCTATCAGATGCCAGGAGCATTTTCCCAGTTATGACAGCCAACTGTCAGTCAGGGGAATCAAACTCACCCCACATCTGCCAGTGAGTGGCTCGGAACTGGCATGTAACCTAAATATGACCGCTGGGTCAGAAGGAAATGGCTTATGGGCAAGTCATTGGCTGTAGGAAAGGGAGACTGCTTTCATTCTTTTCCTGGATGTGCAGGGAAGCTCAGTGTTCTGGTGGCTTCTGGGGGTCATCTTGAGTCCAGGAGAAAATGTTGGGGCTGTGGGGTCTCACAGAGGTAGCCTAACCCTGATGTCATTGTCGAGGGGTTGATCTACCCACTTTTAAAGATGTCCTCTCTGCCCTTTTATATAAAGCCCTGGCTATCCTGGAATGTACTACGTGACCAGGTTGGCCTTAATTCAAATGACTGCCTATCTCTGCCTCCCTGATGCTTGGGATTAAAGATGTTCTCCACCATGTACAACTTTCTTTCTTTCTTTTGACTAAATCTCATGGAGCCCAGACAGTCCTCAAACTCATTATATGGTCAAGGGTGATCTTGAACTTCTGGTTCTCCAGAATGCTGAGACCAGAATGGTGCACCTGGCATATGGGTTGCTGGGATCAAACCCAGGGCCTTGTGCCTGCTAAGCAAACACTCTACCAGCTGAGCTACCTCCAACTCCTTCAAACTGTGGAGTTGCTGCGTGGAACACACAGAACCCTCCTGACCTTGTAAACGAGATTAAGTGTCCCAGCAAGCCGAGCCTAGGTGGTTTTCTCTCCAAAGCCTACAACCATATATCATCATATTCTGCCACTGGCTATTTTCTTTTCTTTTCTTTTCTTTTTTTTTTTTTTTTTTTTTGGTTTTTCAAGACAGGGTTTCTCTGGTTTTGGAGCCTGTCCTGGAACTAGCTCTTGTAGACCAGGCTGGTCTCGAAATCACAGAGATCCACCTGCCTCTGCCTCCCAAGTGCTGGGATTAAAGGTGTGTGCCGCCACCACCCGGCTTGCCACTGGCTATTAAACAAGCCAAGCGTCCATGACCCCGCTTTATCGCCATTATGTCCAGCTGGTCTTGAACTCAGTATACAGGTGAGGATTGTGCTGAACTCCCAGTCTGGGATTACTGGTGTATGCCAGCCTCATCAGGGCATGCACACTGGCCCTCCTCCCTAAATCACAACCAAGTCTGTGAGGAGGTTCACTTAGAAAGAAGCTACCTATTCCAGCTTCAGAGCAGAGCTGTGTGGGTATCTAGCCGACGGCCAGGACCCATGGCCACTTCACTCATCTGTACAGTCAGGGAGGGACCAATGCTAAGCATTCCTGGAAGTGAGGAACGGAATTTGACTGCTCCGGTCATTTGCAAAAGGCAAGGTTGGCTTGGTCTCTGCTGGGGAGTAGCCACAAGGGAAGTCCACTGTAGTAGAGCTCTCAAAATAATGCACAGGGAACAATCCAAAGTGCTTCAAAATCCAGACCCCAGCTGGGCACCTCTGGAGTCCAGACTCAGCCATCTTCCAATGTGCCGGAGAGATGGCTCAATGTTTATTTTAACGCTATTCTCCCAGAGGCCCCAAGTTTGACTGCCAGCACCCACGTGGTGGCTCACAACTGTTAACTCCAGTTCCATCAGATCTGACGGCCTCTAGGCAAGCACGTGGTACACAGACACACATGGAGTCAGAACACCCAGACACATAAAATTAAACATTAAAGAAAATCCTCAAGACGCTCCCATGGGCAGCCAACAAGACACCATCCTGTAAGGGCTGTATCAAAGGCATTCAAAGGGGGTCTATTGGAGATGCAATCCCCTCGCCCCATCCAAGACACTGCTGGAAGCCCAGCCATTTAAACCAGTTTTGGGGAGATTCTGAGGAGGTATATTAAACAAGAACAGAGAGCCTTTGGTAATGCAGAGTCTGGGGCAGGGTGAAGCTGGCATGTCCATGCCAGACCATGAGTATCACGGACTACAGAGAGCGTCCAATGCAGGCTATAGGGTTCCTTACCTACCAACACAGCTTTGGAGAAACTACCGGAAAACTACCTTCAACAAGCCAGTGTCGCCTGCTTTGCCAGGAACTCCAGGCCATTTACGGGCCAGATGCCCCAAAACCAAAGTCACTAGTCATTCGTAATGAATTGGGAATGGGGCTGGAGAGATGGCTCAGAGGTTAGGAGCACTGCCTGTTCTTCCGAAGGTCCTGAGTTCAATTCCCAGAAACCACATGGTGGCTCACACCATCTGTAATAAGATCTGGTGCAGAATACAGTATATATAATAAATAAATAAATAAATCTTTTAAAAAAATGAATTGGGAAAGGCTAGTCAACTCCTCTAGAGTTGCCAAGACACTGCCTGGAAAGACCTCCTTGGGAGGAGCCTCTGGGATGCACCTTCAGCTGCCTCCTCCCCACAATGGAGCTGGAGACCAACGGTCAGCTCTGCTGTGACTGGACAGAAGTGGGGGTGTCTCATAATGCCTTGAGATCTCTACCAGTTGCCAAGATACAGGATTCTCTGGAAACTGATTTTCCTTTTGGTTTTCAGTTTCTTTTTGAGAGACCAAGGTCTTATATTATGTGGTCTGGCTTGACCTCAAACTTGTGGTAATCCTCCTGCCTCAGTCAGTATCCCAAGTGCTTACACTACAGGTATGTGCAACTGCACCTACCCTCTCTGGAAATCCTTTCAATTATTACTGTTACTAGGTGATGCAGGGGCTCACTGTGTAGCCCCATGCTGGCCTTGAACGACAGTCTTCCTGCCTCAGTTTCCTGAGTGCTAGAATTGTGAGTGTGTACCACACCACACCCAGCCCTCTTAGACCTTGGCTTCTATTTTAATTCTTTTTCTTACATTACTTATTTCTTTTATGTTTCCCTCTGGTAAAGGTCAACGGCAGGGCTACCTGTTCCTCTCCTGAGTATGTGGCTCTCACTCTTTCCAGCAGGCACCGTGGCTGGTTGATTGCCCTAACCTCTCTGAATGTCTGAATTCCCATGTGCACTGGGAGGTGGTGACCTCTGTTTCCCCCTTTGTCCCTTCCCCATCCGTTTATTTGGAATCAGACAGTTCAGCCATGGCTCTTGTGGGTTGTTATCGAGTTGCCTGCTCTCTGCCCTGCGGTTTCTGTTAGAGAAGTGATAGATAGCAGAGCCAGCCTCCCTCTGAGGGTCACATGAGTTACACAGCACTCAACATGCGTAAGTTATGCTTTTTATTATTGTTTTAGTGAGCCCATGGAAGTCCTTGGAAGACGACATAAATACCCCATTATTGCCACGACGGCTCCCCAGGCTCTCCCTCTCTCCAGACCTGAGCCCACCTCAGTGAAGTCTCGGCCTTGGCCAGCCTCCCTACGCCCCTAACCGGACAGGAGACTCCTGAGTGCGCCATGCCGCTGTCACTCCTGTTCTGTCCACTGCGCACAGCCCACCCACCTTGGCTGTCCAGGCTGATGTCCATGACGCCATGCTTGACCTTCATGTGCCGGCTCAGGTTTCCCTTGAGGTTGAACTTGCTGGAGCAGTAGGGGCACTTGAATGGCTTGCTGCCTGCGTGCAGGTGCATATGGCCCAGCAGGTTGTACATGCGGTTGAAGGACTTCCCACACACCTGTAATGGGGGAAGGTGGCAGAGGGTTGCGGGGAGCCTGCCATCCTGGCCAATCTCCTCCCACTTCCTGAGCACACACACACAGCGCGCTGTCCTTCCCTGTGTGACCAGAGGGAGGCAAAGGACCGCTGCTCCTTGCATCTCCTGCCTGCCCTGCACTGGAGGTAGGAACTGCAGCTCACCTCACCGCACCCTTCACGCCCTCTGATCCCCACCCGCCCTCCTACACCCCTCCGAGCCCGGGCAAGCACCCGCCGTGGGGACAGTCCCGTACCTTGCACTTGAATGGCTTCACGGGCGAGTGCACAATCATGTGGGTCTTGAGCGTCTGCTTCTGCACGAAGGTCTTAAAGCAGATGTGGCACTGGTAGGGCCGGACGCTGGTGTGGATCAGCATGTGGCGCTTCATGTTGGCCTGCAGGGTGAACTCTCGGCCACACACCTCACACTTGAACTCCTTCACGCCCTGGGGAGGCAGAGGCACCGCTGGGGAATTCCTTTTCACCAAAAAAGCATGTGTGTGTACGTATGTGTCTGTCTGTCTGTATGTTCTGTGTATGTACGTGTGCGTGTGTGTACCACTTTCAGAACTTGGGTCTCTTCTTCCACCAAGTGGGTTCTGAGCAGCAGGCTCTGTTATCAAGCTGGGGGCAAGCACCTCTACCTGCTGAGCTATTCTGCTAGCCAGCTCTGGGGTATGGCAGGGCTGTTGTTCCAGGATGCCTTCCAGCACAAAGCAGACAGTGTGTCTTCCCATCCCTGCCTGCCAGGTAGGTATGTAAGCAGGTCAGCTGTACCAGTGTGCAGAGATAAGGGGGTCTGCCTACCTACCCATCCATCCATCCATCCATCCGTTTGTTCACCTCTCAGTTCATTCATCCAGCACCACAGGCCTGTGGTCAGCAGGGCAATGCCTTTGTCTGGACAACTTTCATTACACCAAGGATGTGCAGCCCAGCGATGGTGGCACACACATTTAATCCAGCACTCGGGAGGCAGAGGCAGGCGGATCTCTGTGAGTTTGAGGCCAGCCTGGTCTACAGAGCTCCTTCCAGAACAGGCTCCAAAGCTACAGAGAAACCCTGTCTGTAGAGGGGCGGAGTGGGGGATGTGTTTATCTTCAGTTACATCTCTTGGGGGACAAACCCTTTGGAAACACGATTGAAGCTGTGTTTCTGGGGACAGAGCTCAGCGGAGGAGAGTCTTCCTAGCATGTGCAAGGCGTCCTAGGTTTGAGCCACTGAGGCTGAAGCAGAGGCAGGAGGAGCCAGTGTGAGGCAAGTCAGGACTATGCAGTGAGAACCTGTCTATAAAATAACAAAAAGTTGGTAGGAGTAGGGAGAAGCGAACAAGAAAAAGCTGCCAGTCATGGTAGCACAGGCCTGCTAATCCCCAGATACTCAGGGGAGATTAAGACAGCAGAGTTGAAAGCCCAAAGGTAGGCTAGGCAAATTCAAGGCCAACAGAGACAATTTATCAGTAAGAGCCGGGGGGGGGGGGGGGGGGGGGGCTGGAGAGAGATGGCTCAGTGGTTAAGAGCACTTGCTGCTCTTCCAGAGGTCCTGAGCTCTGTTCCCAGAACCCACGTGGTGGCTCACAACCTTGTCACTCCAGTTCCAGTTCTGTCACCCTTTCTGGCTTCCATGTAATGTGGTATACATACATACAATACATACATGCAAGCAAAACACCCCTACATGGAAAAGTCAATATGTAAGTAAACATAAAAAAATATATAAAAGTATTTATATCTATAAATATATTATATATAAAAATAAATAAAAGTAAATATATAAAAGGGCATAGAAGCAGACAGATCTCTAAGTGTGAGAGCAGTCAGGGATCCATAGCGAGACTCTGTTGTGTGTTTGGGAGCGGGGCTGGGAGTATATCCCTAGTAGCAGCGCACTCATCTACCAAAGATTATGTCCACGGTTAATCACCAACACTTGGGAGAAAAGGGAAAAAAGAAAGAAAGAAAACCTTTGTGCACCCCAAGGAAAAATGGCTAAGGCTCAGCTCTGCATAAAACTCTTGGGTAGCGAAAGCTCTCTGCTCTTCCCAGCACCCTTGAAGGTGTTTTCCCAGCGCTCCCTGGAGATGAGAGCCACCAGCGGAGAGCCTGAAGCCCCACCCTAAAGAGACTCATCCAGAGGGGTCTGGGATGGCCCAGGAGTTTTTCGTTGCATTAGTTCTCCCCACCCCAGGTGATTCTTATCATGGAGACACTGGCTCCAGAGAAAACTGTCTGGTCTGAGCTGTTGCAGGCCTCTTTATAGCCCGGAGCTGACGTTCACTCAGCACAGGGCTGTGTGCACAGGGGACGCTGGTAGAGCAGGAAGAGAACTTCACTGGGACAGAGGCACGTCGACGGTCGTCCCAACTATCTAACAGAAAACTTCGGTATTATGTGTTTTCGGGCATATGTGCTGGTGACTGAACCCAGGGTATTTATGATACTTTAGCAGAGCCAGGTGCTCTTGCTCGAGATGTATACCCTCATTATCCTGTGACAGTGGTAGGCCACATGACCACCAGGGGGCCCCATTCAAGAGTTACAAGCACAGACGTGTGGAGTGGGGTGGAGAGGTGGACAAATTAAGACACTGACACAGATAGTTTCAACTTTCGTCACAACCCTTTATCTCTCGGCACATCGGTAGGTAAGGGTTGAAGTCTCTGAGCAGAGGAGAAAGATGGCAGATACACGGTGCACACATCATCCTTCACGCCCACCCTCGCAGACATTAATAATCAATTAGAGTCTTGCTGATGAGCCCGGACTCAGTGTCAGAACCCTTAACATTATAATAATATTATATCAGCAGCTGCTACTACAAACTGCGGTCAAGCGTCTGCAGTGGAACCTGCTAATGCTCCCTGCCCTAGCAGAAAAAGTTCTGGGGGATGGAGAAGTTCAGGCTCCACATCTGCCACCACAGGTCACCATACAGAGGAAGGGCTACTCCCAGCTTTGAAAAGTTAAGTTGGCTGGAGTTTGAAGGAAACCGTGGGTCAGCCAAGTGCCAGCACGGGATGGTTAGGCCTAAGAGATTCCATTCTACCTTCCAGGGTGTAAGGGCATCTTGGGGGAGGTGGTGACGGCTGAGAGGCATGGGGAAGAAAACCGGTGACCTGGCACCAGGAAGAACTAGAAAGTCATATATATTTTGCTTTCTCCTAAAGGGAAGTCGAAGGTTTTGTTAGACGTTTGTGATAACAAGAACTCCAAGCTACCCTCTCCATTTCTGGTCGTGGCATTCACCCGCCTGTACTCAGTCCTGGGAAACAGGGAGGGACCCTTGAGCCCTGCGGGAGTTCCACAAGCACTTCACGCCAAAATCTTTTTACGTTCCTCTTCTCTGCGGTGTGTGTGTGGGGGTGGGTGGGTGGGTGTGGGTGTGTGTGTGTACGTGCAGTTGCCCAGGTGCAAGCACAGGTGTCCTCCTCCAATTGCTCCTCCGCCTGATTCTTTGACCTCACTGAACTCACCGTTTTTTTTTTTTCACTATGCCAGCTGGCTGAGCCGAGGGCACCCACCCGTTTTCTCTCTTCACTGGTGGGGCGATGCACACTGCCATACCTAGCTTTTATGGGTGTGCTGGCAACCTGAACACAGCAAGAGGAGGATCGACAGGGGCCGGCAAGCACTTTACCCACTGAACCAACTCCCCAGGCCTCAAGAACATTTTAAAGATTAGTTTTTCCTCAAAAACTCAGTTTAATTATGTTTCCAATAGTCTACTAAGATAAACCTCTAAGTATGAAATTAAGTAAAGTCTGGGCTGGAGAGGTGGCTCGGTGGTTAAGGAGCACCCAGGTTAGATTCCAAGCACCCAATGGCAGCTCACCACCACCTGTAACTCCAGGCCCAGGAGATCTGATGCCCTCTTCCGGCCTCCACGGGCATCAGGCATACGCTGTGGTTCAAAGACCTACATGTAGGCAAAACACTCAACAGATAAAATAAATATATGTACACCTAAAAAAAAGTTTACCTGTGTAAATCTCATCCAGGACCTTGGGGTGCCAGAGAGGGCGGGACAGGTGGGACAGCGGAGGCTGGTAGCCTTACCTTGTGGGTGAGGGAGTGCTGCTTGAGGTGATGGATCTGGCTGAACTCCATGCCGCATTCCGTGCACACGAAGGGCCGCACGTTCTGGTGCTTGAGCATGTGGTTCTGCAGCTGGCTGCGGTAGTGGAAGGACTTGTCACACTCGAGGCACTGGTAGAGGGTAGGGCCCTGGTGGGAGGCCAGGTGGCGCTTGAGTTGGGTCAGGGTGGAGAAGTCTAGGCCGCACTCGACACAGACGTGGCAGCGGCCACTCTCGTGCTTCACCTCGTGCGCCTTAAGCTCGCTGGGGTAGGCGAAGCCGCGGCCGCAGAAGTGACAGCTGTAGGGCTTGACCTCAGAGTGCAGCAGCATGTGGCGTTTGAGGTGGCTGGTCTGAGTGAAAGCCTTGTGGCACACCTGGCACTTGTGGGGCCGCGTGCCCTGGTGCGTCAGCAGGTGTGTCTGCAGGTGGCTGGGTTGCTTGAAGAGCTTGCTGCAGTGCGGACACGAGTGTGGCTTGATGCCGTTGTGGCCCAGGATGTGCGTCACCAGATTGTACTTGGACGTGTAGGACTTCTCACACATGCGGCACTGCCAGCGTTTCTGGCGGTCACCCGCTTCCACCAGGTAAGAGTCATCAATCTGCACGTTGATGTCCAGCCGGTCCAGCTGCGCCTTCTTGTGCCGCTCCACCGTGGAGCCTGCCGGGTCGGCCTCGAACTCACTGGACTCCTGCCACACGAAGCCCTGCTCTGGTTTGACGAGTTCTGGCGATGTCATGGGGGGAGGGTCAGGATTGCTCAGCGGGGCCAGGTGGGGCGGCTCAAAACCACATTCGGTGGGCAAAGTCTCTGGTCCAGGTAGTGCCATGCTGGGCTCGGGGAAGCCGTCCCGGGTTGGGTTGGGGAAAGGAGGATCGAAGGGGGCCATGTCCAACTCTGGCCTTGGAGTTCGAGGCAAGTGCCGGAGCGTCCGGGGCTTGCGGCTGAAGGCGCTGAGGTCGATCATCTTGACGGCACTGCTCTGCACCAGGGCCTCGCAGCCGCCACCGGCCACCTCGGCAGGAGCCTCTGCGGGGCTCGGGTCCTTGTCGTCACCAGGCACAGATACCTCATACACTTCCTGTTCCTCTTCCTCTTCCGCTTTCTCAAATTTGACCTTGGGTACCAGCCGCACAGGGGGCCGCGTCTTCCTCCGGGTGTGCTTCTCAAAGGCTGCCTCTACCTCCAGCACCTCCTCTTCCGGGGGCTCTTCCAGGGCTCGCCCATTACAGGCCAGCTGATAGATGTCGGGCCCTGGTGGTCCCGGCTCCCCCACGGCTGTCCCAGACAGTTCTGGCCCTAGGTCTGGATAGAAGGCCTCAGCACTTATGGTGGCTCCAAAGAGCTCATTCTCTGAGACCAGGCCCAGCACGGCAGCCTGAGCCAAGGACAGCACCACCACAGCGTCCGTCTGTGTCCCTGAGTCCATGAAGCCCTCCATCCTGTGGCGGCTGGCTAGGAGGGCATTTCTGTGGGAAGAAAAGAGCATGTTAATACTGCGAGATCTGTGCTGAAGGGGCAACAGGCTCAGGACAAGGGCCCAGCTAATTTGGGGTGTGTGTGGCCCTGATGTTATGTGACCCCTGCCTCGAGAATGGGATATGCGTGTAATTGCAGGGAGCAAGGACAACCTCTGTTTATCCAGCCATCCCCCTCCATCTCCCTATGAGGGCTTGGGTAAGCCCCACCTCCTGAGTCTTTCCATCTGTAAAACAGGGAGGAGTTGGAGTTGGCCTCAAACTCATTATCCTCTTGCCTCAGCCTCCCAAGTACGAGGATGACAAATGTGTGTCTCCACACTCAGCTGTTCAGCGTTTCATCAACACCCCCCCCCCCTTTCTGTGTGGTGTATGCATGTGCGTGCACGTGTGTGCTGTGGGTGCGTGTGTCATGTGTGCGCCTGCATGAAGCCCAATGATGCCAGGGTTTATCAATTAATGGGTCTACCTGGCCAGCAAACCCAAGGGATTCCCCTGACTCTGCCTTCCAGCTTGGGGGTTACAGGTATGTGCTGCCACACTTAGATTCTTGGAATCCCCCCCCCCGCACACACACACACACCCCTGAGACAGGGTTTTTCTGTGTAGCTTTGGAGCCTGTCCTGGAACTCACTCTGTAGACCAGGCTGGCCTCGAACTCAGAGATCTGACTGCCTCTCCCTCCCAAGTGCTGGGCACACCTGGAGTTTTAAATAATTGGGAGCTGGGGTTTGTGCAGCAAGCACTTTGACCACAGAGCCATTCCCCAGCCCATGTTCAACAGTTCTTAAGCTATGTCTTATAGGTTCTTCACGGGGCCCTCAGAAATCTGTTCCAAAATGCACAACTATGACTGTACTTCCTCTGAGACAGGATCTCAGTGTGTAGCTGAGGCTAGCCTGGAATCTGCTATCTGAGGCTAGCCTGGAATCTGCTATCTGAGGGTAGCCTGGAATCTGCTATCTGAGGCTAGCCTGGAATCTGCTATCTGAGAGCCTGAGTCTCCCGAGGGCTGAAATTATAGACGTGTGTCTCCAAGCCTGGTGATTTATGAATGAAGTTGAACAGCTTTTTAATTTTCTTTTTTTTTGCAGAGCTGGGGATTGGACCCGGGACTTTGAGCATGCTAAGCAAGCACTCTTCTACTGTGCCATAGCCCCAGCCCTTCTGTTTTAAAAATTAATTACTCTATTATTTTAAGAACTGATTTAAAAAAACCCTACCTACTCAAAATATAATGTGCCACATACTAAAACACATCAAGAGTCCCATGGCTGTGCTGCGGCTGGGGTAATTGATTCTGCACAGACCCTGGGATGTACTGAGGTGTTAAACAATTGTTGCCATTAGCGATGGCATGGCTGCACGAACGAGGAACACACACACACACACACACACGTATTAAAAACAATACGGCAGATAAAAATAGATTAGGCTCCAAATAAGGGCTACTGCCGGTCAGCCCTAACGTTAAACAGTCTATCATAGGAGCCATTGTTTTTCTTAATTAACTAAATGCCATATACACAGATATCTAAACACACTGATATAAAGATAGCTTTAGGTGGCACGGGAGTTGCGCGTCAGATCCAATGGCGAATGCTTGTGAGACCACTGTCTGACTTGACTGTTAAAACTGGATCCCAGGTTCATATCACGTTCTGTAATCTAACAGATTCTCATAAATAATAAGCACTGTACCCCTGTCCAGCTGTGAAACCAGCAAAGGCATCCTCCTTCCTCTGGCTCCACGAGTACCATGAACCCCAACTTTGCACAAAGGGACCCCTGCTCTGGTGCCCCTTCCCAGCACGGCTTGCATGCTCCGCCGCCAGTCTCCTGGCCCCATCTGCCGGCTCTCAGGCCCATGATGGCTTCTCCAGGTTTGTGCTATATGGGTGCCTCCTCCCGGGCTTCAGATGCTCCTGTTGCCTTGCCCTGGCCCTGTTCTTGACAAACTCCAGAAGAGGGGTGACACTAGTGGGGTGACAGGGCTAGGCACAGGGCTGGTGGGCAGTCCTTCCTCAGGAAATCAGTCCAGGCCTGGTGCTGCCCTGCCCCCCAGCACTCAATGGAGCTTCCTCTTCCTGAGGCTGCTAAAAATACCCCAGACAGGAATCCGGCCTCCTTGCAACAGACACGAAAGCTCAGAGCAGGGCTTTGGTGGAAGGGGTCAGCTGGACTCCTGTGGGGGCTTCGGGGTCCATGTGGAACTCTCCAGGGGGTAAACTCAGCTCTGGACATCCTCTACTCCATGCCTGGCTGCATTTGACTAGGGATTTCCCACATCAGCCACTTCTAATGGATTACAGAAGGTCACTTCTGTGCCTCAGTTTCCCCATCTAGAACACTGGGAATGAAAACACACAAGAAAGGCGCAGATTCCCAAAGAACATAATGCAGGACCAGGATCTTAGTTAATTACAAAGCCCTAAGGAAGAGTGTTGAACAACAGCTTTATTGTCCTCGATCCCCAGCAAGAAGACGGTCGTGGGGCTGAAAAAAAAACTTTCCATCCCTGGGCCCCAAATTCAGCAAAGCTTTGGTGATGGCAAGGACACCTGTTAGGAACAGTGAACTCGTGAGAAAGAACACTGCTACATCCCAGCTGGGTGGCAGGCCTCGTGGTAGAGAGAAGAAGGTGAACAAGACAGGGGCTCTGTCTGCATGGAGCCTGCAGGTGTCCTCCTGTGTTCATCACAGTCCAATGGCCACTACCACTGCTGACTTTCCTGAATATACTGAGATGTCGCTGCCCGCCATACCGGCCCATCGCAGACACGGCACTGGGCGGGAGCCCGAGCGTGTGTGATGGCTTTGAGCAAACACTACACTCAGCAAACTTTCTAGACTTTCCCAGAGGCAGAACCCTTGGGGAGGAGGGACTGGTCATCTATGGCAAAGTTGTGCTTCGAACCCAGCACTGGAAGCCGGGTGTGCTGGCACAGGCCTGGAATATGCCAGCACCCGGAAGGTAAGCTAGGGCTGGCCATTCAAAATCATCCTCAGCTACAGACTGAGTTTTGAGCAAGTGAGAGTAATGACAACCATGAAGAACTTGGGCTGAGTACTGAGGCCTGGGTCTGCTACCCCCTAATGTGTCCCAAATCTCAGTTCCTTCATCTCACTCATACAGAGGGTTTCTGACTTATTTAAAGAGACACAAGATGAGATAGTGTGACTTTCCTCAGAAACCCAGTTGTCACCCACACTCCTGCGACCTCAAGAGAATGGTGCACAGGGCCTACTTCCCGTGTAGACAAAAGAGTGACCACCGACTACAGGCCCACCCTGCCCGAGGGAGCAGGAGCGTGGGTCTGGTTCCCTATTGTGAGAGAAATCATCCAGTTAACCATCCGAACTGGGGTCCCCTCCAACAAGGAGACACCCCTAATGTCAAACATACAAGATGTAAGTAAGCTAAGCCTGTCCCAGGTCGCCCGGCCTCTTCCTCCTCCTCCTCCTCCTCCTCCTCCAGACACACTGTTTTCACTGGAGTCCGTTCTGGCTATCAAGGGGGGCTTGCCCAGAGCTGGTGCTCTTGGAGGGCCAAGGTTAGGGGCTTAAAAATTGTCATTCCATCCTGGCAGGAGACTCTCTACACCGTATCATCACTGGGGACTCCAGGCCCCATTTAACCCTACAGCAACCCGACTCCACAGGCCAGGGAATGGTGCCTGCGCCAGTGACAGGCGTTCTAGGAGCTGAGCAGGGCTGGGTGACACCAGGCATCTCTAGCACCCAGGGGATTCCAATTCCAAGGCTGCCAAATCTGGAGGTCACATCATAACCGAGTGCAGGAGCTGCCCAGAGCCAGCTGAGGCCTGAGACCTGGTGGCGAGGGCTCGGCTCTATGTTCTCTGTGGTCTGGTCTCCTGGTACAGCCATGTACACGCCTGAGTGTGCAGAAGGCGCTCTCCTGAGGTAGAGGTGGAGAGAAAGAGATGCTAAGTGGCTTGCTGCTCTGCCTGTGGGTTTTCTGGGCAGAGATAAGTGGAGGGGAGGTGGCCTCCAGCCCAGGATCCCTTTCATCCACTTAGACCAGTCTTTTGGTTTAGCTGTCCAAGTCCCCTGGCTCCTTCTTCTCATAGGCTACAGCCCTTCTATTTGATGCCTTGACCTAAACTGCTCAAGGCAGAAGAACCTACACCACTTGTGGCACAGGGATACTGCAGTCCCCCAGGGACCCATGGCTCCTCTCTTCTCCAGGCAAAGCCTTCCTTTATCACTTGTGCTGGGGACTCAACCAAAGCTCCTGACAAGGTCCAAGAGAAGAGAGCGTGGAGGGCCCTATGCTCTTCTAAATCGTGCGGCTAATGATGGGGGGGGGGGCGCGCACGGCCGGACACAGCCATTAGTGCAGGCACCTCTGCTAAACCCCTCCCACTTCCCAGCCTGTCTTCCCTCTCCCCAGGGTGTGAAGAAAGTAAATGTTAAAGGCGCGATAAAGAGTGGCTGCCGGTGTGCCGTAAAGCAGGGAGTGGGCTAAGGGAAAAAAAGAGGGGGAGGGGAGAAAAAAGGCAGTGAGGAGAAAAGGGCGCAGAAGAGGAGTGAGAAGGGGGAGGGAGGGAAAGAGAAAGAGGCTGCGGAGGACTAGAAACAAAGGCGGGAGGGGGAGGGGATCCACAGTGACATAGAAGCTCAGGGCTGCCCTATTTCCCAGGACTCGGGGCACCTCTGGGGCAGAGGGTCAGGCCTGATCCTGGGAAGGGGCAAGTCTCCCTTTGAGACCCAGCAGCAGACTTCCCCACCTCAAAGAGGGCCCTGGGCTTCTCACTGTTACTCCCAAAAGTGTTTAATCTCTGTTCTGTGGCTCCAGGGAAGATTGATAGAAGCCCAGGGACCACAGGCGAGTCAGCTGACACCTTGGAGTCTCAGTGTTCCTATCTATAAAATAGATGCAAAGGCCTACTTGGAATCTCATATCTAAAGCTCACATCCCACCTGCCTGCCACACAGGGTCCCCTCATTACACAGGGCCCTGGCCTTGG